TGAACTTTTTCAAATCTTCATGCAACATGTATATATATATTTTTTGTATCATGTAAATTAATGTAGGGTACAAATTAAGTTGTGTTGTTGTCAAATAAAATTGTGTTGTTGTCTTTCCCTTAAACGCAAAGGTAAAGCTCCTCCTCCCTCACCCCCACGCCAGCTCGCCTTGCTCTTCAAAATGGAACAGAGAATCAACTGAATCAATAGACTGTTACAATTAACTTTCCCTCTCCGCATTTTGCTTTTTATTCTACTTCCCCACAGATAATGATTGAAGTATTGAGATTTAGTCAAAGAGCGATTCGAACAAACAAACTGATATCTCAATTGAAAAAAATGACTTGAATGAGAAAATACTGCAAATTTTCCGCAATATTGCGGCCTGTGTGCCCACCCCCCCCTCCCACGTGCTCTGAGTGCCAACTCTCTCGTGCTGTTTTGACAGTTCCTGGCTTTCGACTGCTTCTAATTATAACTGTGCTTCCATGGCCACCAGGAGAATATATTAACACTTTTTGATGCTCGAATTCATGATGATTTATAGAAAATTAATATTTATTTTTAATTTTGGTCAATTGCGAATTAGAAGTGCCAGAAAGTTCGAAAGCGTCGAAAGCGAAAAGGGTATTAAGTCGATCCAAGGTTATACCTCGACCCTGGGTGCCAGATAAAAGTAGCGCAGTGCTCGCTGTGCGTCCAAATCGCTAACAAACCACGGATAGCCCAAGCTCCAGCTGTGAGGTGATAATCTTGCAAAATAACAGCAATGGCGAAAATATAAGAGTTTGTATGGGAATATTTACGACCGCTCTTAAGAATTAATAATAAGTTCAAATTCTCAATAAATACCTCACCTTACTTTCACAGTGCATTGCCCGTTTTTGAGCGCTTACTTTGTTTCAACGAGCCATTTTAGCCAGTTATCCATTACTAGGTTTACTACTCCTAAGAGAAAGAGTTGGACACCTAGAAATGGTTAACTCGCTAAAATGGCTTATTTTCAACCTAGTAAGCGCTCAGACAACAAGCGATGCACGGTGGAAGTAAGGTGAGGTATTTATTGAGGATTTGACAGTATTTTTACTTCCTAACAGCGGTCGTAAATATTCTCATACAAACTCTTAAATTTTCGCCATGACTCCAGTTTCGCAAAATGATCATCTAACAGCCGCAGCTTGGGCTGCTTGAGAAAAAACCGGCAAGGAAAGCAGGCAAAAGCGAAGCATTCAAGATATCAATAGTTAGATTATTTTCACACAAAATTACAAATTCTTCGATTTAAAACAAAACTAAAGCGTATCTTTAACAATAAAAATACTTAAATCGACTCGTAATTTTTAACTTGATGTAACACAACCACTCATGAGCAAAGTCACGTCCCAACTTTTGTTATAACAACCACAGGACGTCACAGAGGTCACTTTTTTGTTTAGAGGTATTCTAAAACAGTGAAATAGCGCCCACGATGGTGTTTCAAGGAAACCATGTGGGATTTAAACCCTTTGTTATGTAAACACGTTCTTTTTGACCCTCTAAATTTGCATACTTATTGAACACTTGAGTGAACTGCACCCTCCAGTGGTTGCATGGGTGAGCGTGAAAGCCGTCAATGCCGTTTGAAATTGATTTTCCGCAATTGATTTTCTGGATTCTTTCTTTAGCGGGATTCTGGATGTTAACGCCCAGTATTCCGGATTTCAGAAGCAAAAATTTCCTGCATTGATTCCGGAATCATTATTACCTTGCATGGAACGAAAAAAAAAAAAGCGACTGCTGTATTTTAAAAATGACTCAAGCCATAAACAGATAAAGGTTTTACTCTAACGATTGACACTAAAACTATGATTGATATTTAGCGCTATCACGGATCTGCCTCAAAACACCAGCGATTTACAATTTGCGCTTACAACAATGTTTGATGCAACAACGCAAGCGGTCGAGGTTCAGCACTAACGATTAACCTTCCTAAAACGGAAACTAGATTGATTTACAATAACGATTTTTTGCTACCACTGACGCTTGAGTTTTATCACAAGCGATTGATAATTTCGGCGCAAATGGCTCCCAACAAGCCAATTATTCTGACATGTGACCAAATCAAACGACGTTTCAGAGGAAGGGAGCTTGGGAACCAAGATCGTCAACGTGGGTTACTACATCACGGGCGACGAGCGGGGAAAGAAGAAAAGATAGATATACGAGTGGTCAGCGGGGAAACAAATTTAATACTTCATAGCCTTCATAAGGCTAATGTGTTTACCTTGCTTAAATATTTATAATCAGGGCCACTCGTTCAGGAGACCTTTTTTCAAAAGATCCAGACGTTAAAATAATTCTGTTTTCCGTTCGAATTGTTTTTTTTTTTCCTATTTAATTTAACAAATGAACCCGGTATGAAAACTTAACTTTCGAACCGAACAGTAGGTGAAATGTTGTGTTGGTGTCTCTGTCCCCCATGTAAATATTGACTCTAAAAGGCAGGTAGGAAAACACTAAGCTTCGAGAAACAGCCAAGTTAAGGCGAATGTGTTTACCTTGCTTAAATATTTATAATCAGGGCCACTCGATCAGGAGACCCTTTTTCAAAAGATCCAGACGTTAAAATAATTCTGTTTTCCGTTCGGAGTGTTTTTTTTTCCTATTTAATTTAACAAATGAACTCGGTATGAAAACTTAACTTTCGAACCGAACGGCAGGTGAAATGTTATGTTGGTGTTTCTGTCCCCGCACCAAATTTTTAAAAAAATCCTTAAAACTAGACTGGTGAGCAGCACTCTACGAACAGCTGTTGTAAAATCTCTTTACTCTCCGACGCGTTTCGTCTAATTGTCGTAGACTTCTTCGGGGAGTTTTACAATTTAACACTAAACACCTGTATTAATAAGTCATAGTTAGCGGTTATACGAGGGCCAATGACCATAAAGGCTCGGCCGGACCTACCAATAGGAACAGGTGAAGTTGCGAAATATTTGAAAATTTTTTGGGGTAAGGTGGGAGAATTCATTTGGGGACCACGGTTTTGGTTATCTCTTTTTCGTCACGCACGTCACGCAGCAAGTTACAAAACGTAAATATAATTCTTCTTGGTGCCTTTCTGGATGCCACCGATGCCTTTTCTGATGCCTCCATTGTTTATTACGGCAGTAAAAGACATATGTGCCATCAACACTTTTGAAAAATTGCTTAAAATTTTATTTAGCAAGTATACTGTTAACATTTCGGCTTTTCAACACTATTGTTTTATGCAACTACAACTGATATGTCTTTACATGAAGTATTAAATTTGTTTCCCCGCTGACCACTCGTATTTCGCTCTTTTCTTCTTTCCCCGCTCGACGCCCGTGATGTAGTAACTCCCAACGTGGTTACGAGTAGACAGACAGACAGACGTGTTAACTTTTTCCCGAACGGAAGCGAACATCGTGAGTACTTTTTCTAAGACTTTAAACCGTCTCTTAACGACTTTTTCAACGTTTTATGTTAGTTTAAAGGGTGTTGTTGTATTTGATGTCATATTCGCGTGGTTTTCCCGTTGGCTGTAATGCAACACAGCATTGATTACATATCAGAATAGGCTGCGAAATTCTGCATTTATTTTGGTTTAATTTGGAGCATGAATCGGAAATTTAAACCTCGATGCTGCCTTTTCAGAAGCTTCCGCAACTTGAGATAGTCGTTGGGTATTCTTAAAGAAATTATTTTTGTGATGATCAGGGATCAGAACCTTGAAAATTGCTGAATCACAGTTATTGCGTAAATCAGTAAGACCCGACATAGTTCGCTTGTGTGTGTCTATACAAAGTTTGGCTTACCTCGAGCTCGCTCTTTGAGAATATTTAAAAACTAGATCCGAAGGTTATTGTCATTATTATTATTATTTTGTTTTTCACTGAAACGGCATTTATGAAATTTAACAGTCTCAATCCTGATCACCTTTGAGGCAGCAGGCTTTGTTTATCCTTCATTTACTTCTTAAATCGATACGCTTTCAGCTTTCTTGGCAAAGACACAAACATACAGAATGATATCCACCAGCGTAACAATAAAACTCTGTAAAATTTTTTTTTGTTCTTTGTCAGTTTGTGCTGTGTTTTTACTTTAATTTTTTTTCTATATAGTGTGGTATGATGTGATAGACAAGCCTGAATTCTCTGAAAAGACACATTTGCAGCCTTCTAACCTTTGAACCCCCAGTATCTGATTGTAAATTCTCCCCTCTAGCTGCTACACATTTTCTTGTAATTTAGTAAGGAGAATTTATCGTTAAATCTATTTAGGTAACAAATTCTACTTGATAAGTTTGAGTATTCTGACTCATTACCTTTTTGCTGGTTAATCTATGGATATTGTAAAGAGAAGTGAGATACTGATCACTTCTTCACTTCTCCATACCCCTGCAGCTTCCAGTGTTATGTTCAGGGCTTGTATACCAAAGAAATAAAATTTAAAAAAATTGGGGGCACCTGCAAAATTTCCTTTTAAAATTTGTAATCTGCTCATTGCAGTCTGGCCAAATTAGTCCCTTGCAAATTGTTATAAACTGCTTGGTGCATTCTGGCTGAAGTCGCCACAAAGTGTTATAAAGAACATTAGAGCTTATTGGTATAATTACTTTATTACTAATATATATTTTTTTATTTTTTTACAACTATTATCGAAAATATAAATCTACTGTTTTCCACTGAATACAGTAGATTGTTATTTGGCATATGTCTGCCTAAAAACTGGGTGTCAGCTTATTATGGGGTCTGCTTAACTCCCAAGAGTGATCAAGACAGAATTTCTCCTTACAATATCAATACAATATCAAGCAGATAAGTGGTGAGAATAAAGAAAAATATAAATTTGGGGATAGTGAGTTGACCCAATACTAAATTCTCTGGACTTATATTATAAGAATTTTATGATTGAGAGTAAGGAGAATTACAAATTTGATCAGGGAGTTAAAGGATTAATATAAGCCTCACTTTAATTTGATCCGAACAGATTGTTACATGATGGTACAAGCATGGTTTATGGATTCCTCTGATGAGGACCAGAGACTTCCACATCAACTGGATCCTCCACAGCCTGTCTCACTAGAGGATCTGAAGAACTGTGGAGTATTGCACTGGAAGGTATGAAATTTAGCGCAGGATTGCTGTGCGAGAGGTCGCAAGTTCAAGGCCTGGACTAGTTCAATATTTAGGGTCTTAAAATAACCCAGGAGAATGTGTTATGACATATGCACGGAAGATCAACTGCTGTTTTATCTTGTAGCTGGATGCTGATAATTTTGAGAAGGAAGGAAAACTGGCAGAGATTCGTGAAGAGAGAGGCTATTCGTACAGTGATTGCATTACATGCACTCCAGAGAGGCTACCTAACTATGAGCAAAAGGTAGGTGTCTTTTCAGGTGGATAAATATTTCCTTTGGCTAAATTTTCATCCAAGTAGAGCCATTTAATTAGCTGTACAGGCAAGAACAGGTCGGGTCACTCTGTGGTGTTCTTGGTTGAAACACTTTATTCTCACAGTGCCTCTCTACCCAGAAGTATAAATAGGTACTAGAAAATTGTCAGGGAAGTCTAATGAAATGTTGGGGGGTGGGGGGGGGGGGTAAAATTGTCGTGCACTGGCATCCCATCAGGAGGCAAGTAATAAAAATTCCTCGTCGATCTATGCCAAGGAAACTGGGATTAGCTTCCCCTGGATAATCCACATGGCTCTGAACAAACTGTACCTTTTTTATATTACTTTAAGACAACTACAAAGCAATAACTTATTGCTTATTGCTTAAAGGCAATCATAGGAATTTGCATACTGACAAACTGTTGTTTATTACAAATTTTATGCAGATCAAGTCATTTTTTGAAGAGCATCTTCATACTGATGAGGAAATAAGGTTTATTATGGACGGCAGTGGCTACTTTGACATAAGGAATTATGATGACAGGTGGATTCGCATCTTTGTTGAAAAAGGTGATCTGATCATTCTTCCTGCTGGGATTTATCATCGTTTCACTTTGGATGACAAGGTAAGTTCAGCTTCTGGTTTGAGTGTACACAGTATACAAAAGAACATGCATATGGGAGAAAAAATAAGCTGGTGGCAGAAACCTGCCTGCTGTCAGACCATTTTGCACCAAGTACTTTGTGAATTTTGATGTAAGATAAAAGGTCAATAATAGAAATAAGAGAGATGGTAAGTTTTGAGCTTGGTAAAGAAATAAAGAAAGATGTTTTTTTCAGAAAAAAATTTTGAGTCCCCATGAGGAATTGAACCTCAGACCTTCAGAGTATGTAATCTGAAGGTCTGAGGTTCAATTCCTCATGACGACTCAGAATTTTTTTTCTATGTTCCTTGCTTGTGACAAGATGAAAAAACTTCTTTCTCTAAGGTCAATAATATTGAACTTACTCTAACATCAACAATAACTCAAGTATGTCCCAGAATACTGAAAATCATTTCATAGAGTGTTTCAAATTTCATAAAGGTGTTTTACAACATTTAAGCATGATTCAGTTCAGCCACCTGGTCAGTCCAGACATTTTCCAATGACAACCCTGGGAAGTAGATTTAACTTGCTTCGCACCTCAATGGAGACTCCTTAACAGAGCAAGAGAGGTGTGCATTGGGAATTTAGTTCCAGTGTATAAAAGATGTGTTCTTTCCATCCAAAATAACCAAGGAGTCCATTGAGATTAGAGAGAATTCATGAAAGCTGAAGAGGGTGAATCCTCTGACCTCCAAGTGTGACAAGGATCTAATTTCTTCTTATAATGTCACCCCTGAATCATACATGTACATTAACCCTTTAAACCCTAAGAGTGACTAACATCTAATTTCTCCCTACAAGATCACTCCTGAATCACACATTAAGGTCATGAGAATAAAGGAAATGGTCACCAGGGAAGGAACCTTTTGATTGGCAAACAAATTCTCCTTGTCAGCACCTCAGTAGATGTATAAAGAACTGTGTGGAGAATTTTCATACTGATGTTAGGGTGTAAAGGGTTAAAGACATGAGAATAAAGGAAATAATCACCAACTAAAAAAGCTGTGATGTGATTTGAAACAAATTCTCCTTGTCAGCACCTTAATAAATGTACAGAGAACAGTAGGGAGAATTTGCATACTGATGTTAGGGTGTAAAGGGTTTTAAAAAACATGTATCTCTTTTGTTCTTATTTATTTTTTTTTTCTCTACAGAACTACATCAAAGCCATGCGGCTGTTTATTGGTGAGCCAGTTTGGACACCTCATAACAGGCCAGCAGATGATCTCCCAGCACGCTCTGAGTACCTGAAGAACATGCAGGCTGGAATATTTTCAAAAGCCTAAAAGAACAAACCTTTCAGCTTTTCAAGGGAATTTGAATTAGAAAATGGAGCTGGTATTAATGGAGGGACTTCTAGACCTTAGGATCATAACTGTAGAAAACACTTCATCTATTTAAGGGAAGAGATCATTTGCTATAGAAGTTCGTAATGAACACATGTTGGAAACACCTTTCACTTGTTTGTGATTCTTTGTGTTTTCCTATGAAGTTTAAGGTTGGTTATGCTGTGGCGAGTTGGTTAGTTTGTTCAGGTCATTATTTTGTGTCATGGGAAAAATGATTTTACTCTCATAATGCCCTTGTGAAACTGTCTTGAAGCCAGTTGTTCAACATACATTTATTTTAATGTGGTTTTAAAAAAAATGGTAATTGTGATTTGAGAAACTCTCGTCAGGGTTCAAGGTGCATAAATTATTCTGATTGGGTTGCTTAAAACAGAATACAAAAATTAGGAATTTTCTGCATACGAAACCTCCTTGATGCCATAGAGGTGTCTAAGGTCATCCTATACCAAGGCAGTTGCAAATAAATAGTGTCTCTGATTCCTTGTTCTCCTTCTGCGCAGGGATTCTATACCTAGGAAAAATTAAAGGCTATGTGGAAGGAAAAACGCGTCTTTAATTTTTTTGTATTTTCCTGGATTCTGTAAAATTGAAGATTGAAAAAATGGACACCGCTAGAAATATGTTAAAGTTTGGACCTTGTTCATCACAAACGAGGTGAAATTTTCCAAAAGAAAAGTTTGCGGGATGAAATTCAGTTTTGTGGCAGATGAAATTTCCCTGTCATTGATGTCCATGTAACTCGGTTTAACTGTTTATACGGGAAATTTTCCTGCGCATCGACAGGTTACCCGCTGATCGAACCTGCACAGCAGAACGCTAGGGTAGTGCAAGCAACGCGCGCGAGAGATGAGAGGCATAAACTCCCTTCCCGCGTGTGTTTGTCCAAATCAGTTAAAGGGGTAAGTTTCTTAAGCAATTGTGGTGCTACGTCGGTCGGACTTCTAACAACATGATTTGATTTTATCAACTGAGCTGATGACTTGAATTGGCCACCATCAGAGAGAGGAGTTTCCGCTCGAGAAATCAGCCTTACAATATCTATAGATGTTCAATTGACATAATCAACTCAATTGTTAAAACCAAATCATTTCATCCGAGGGGTTAGTAGAACAGAGCCTCAGGGGAGATCAGGTGAATTTTATCGTTTCACAATTCCCTCCCCCCCCCCCTCCCTTAACTGATAAATTGTTACTAGTCCCGAACCAGGCTCATTTTGGTGCCAGAGGTTTTCCTAGCAACCACTGATATCATTTATCATGATCCCTCAAAATAATTTGGATCAAAGTTCAGTGGTGGGTCGTAATCTACAAACACACTATGAGAGCTTTTATCCTGCCTGTTCAACCTCCTCTCGGATAGGAATCCATGTTCAAAAACCAGAATGTTTTATCGCAAGCCTCCATCTTTAAATAATAAATAAATTCAACTCAGAGAAATTCGATCATTGGAATACTTCAGTTTGTTGCAGTTTGTTCTCTTGACAAGACATGCAAGTAAACAAGCATTGACTTTTTTGTTATTTAAATTGTTGCGTTGTATTAGAGGAAGCTGTGGTAGCGATTAAGACATTCTCAGTTGGCGCATGAAGTACTTTCCATTTGCAAGACTGGTTTTATTACTAAATACTTCAAAAGGAGAGTTTTTATTGTTTTAACAGTTTATACAACAGAGCTAAGTATGTCTTCCGGTATGTCATTCTTGTGCAATTAGCCTCCACACGATTTCGCAATTTTAAATTTCACTTCAAGGCTAAACACTTTGAAATGCAAAGGTTATTGTCTGAAGATATTGACAAACGACTTTTTCTGTTCACAGACGAGAAAGATGCATTAAAATTATTCTTGATGTTGGTGCCGCAAGAAAGTTATTCGAGGCTAACTTGAAAAGCAAACATTTTCAAACAATCCGAGTGTTCACTGAAGAAGTATATAAAGGAAAAACAAAGTTGTTTGAATTCTCGGGAACGAAAGAAAATAAGATGTAAAAGAAACTTTTCAAAACTTTGAAAAACACTCTATGGAAAGATTCTGATTTATTTTATTTCTCTATAAGAAACACTTTACGTGACGATAATTTGTAATGACAAGCACGCCATATAATTTCCTTGTTCGGCTTGAGTTTTGTAAATAATGTTGAACAAGTTGCCGGAAAAGCAAATTTTAATAGCAGATTTCGTTCGAGAAAGAGGAGGAAAGAAGTAGTGGAAGTCTAGCTTATAAAGACGTGTATTGTTTGAGTTTTATATAAATCAGGGTCATTATGACTAGATATCATAATGAATTTAGGCTTTTATAAAAATCCAAGATTTCTTTGGCTGAAGTAACAATATAAACAAAATGATTCAATATCTACAAAGCTAAAGAGTTAGATATGCAAATTTTTCAGCACTCCGGTGGTTTCAGAACCAAACAATAACCGCGGCCAGCAGAGAGTTAGCGAGCCGTTTGTTATAAATAATAGTTTCTTGAGGACTTTCCCACGTAATTGGCTAGGAGGGCGCATAAACCCTCAGTTAAGTCGCCCACAAATTCAATAGCAAACAATGTTGGACAATTAAATCGTTCAGAAAACACGAAGTGTTCTAAACAATAGATTGGCCGCAAGGAATTATAATTTTATTCATAAACAATATTTACTGGCGCGCGTATGGACTGTTGCAAGAAATTTTAGAGTGCCGTACTGCAAGGACTTAAGCGAACTGGTTTTACCCGTTCCTGGCTTTTTTATTGCTTGGATAAGCAGTAATCCTGAAGTTGTTGTATGATCACCGAGCACCGAATTAAAAGGTGGTGTTATTTTCGACGACTCATTGCAGGAAAGCAACATGGATTTCTCAGATTCGTCACCGTTCTGGCCTTCGCCGCTTGGTCCAAGAGTTCCAGATTTGGATACAAAACTTCGAAAACTGGAAACCCAAACATGGATACCGCTTTAGCATGGTTGAGAGGAGAACTAGTGAGTACCTTTTGCTTCTGTTAACAGATATCATTTCTCTAACAACTCGCACCTTTGTGACATCGGTAGAAAATATTCTTTTGTGGTACAAGATACTTGACCATGGCTGAATTTTTGACAGCCGGAACCAAATGATTTTTAGATCGACCATGTACATTCGTTCGCAGAAAACCACGATCGATTATGTGTTCGAAAAAACACAACGATTCATGGTGAAAAAGTACTTCGCTGATCACTAGTCTGTATTCATTTTGCGCGTTATGTTTATTGCAATTTATTTTCAAAGGTTTTTAATGAAGACTACACCGATGAATATCGAACTTTTTATCGCATTTTTGGCACAAGAGATTTCTCTTTTAGTGTTTCTATTTTAATTTAATCTAGAATATTCTCAGACTCAATATAATCCATAGCCTGCAGGATACAAGGAAGACATATACTTCGTTCTTTCATTAACATGTGATATTTGAGGTTTGTTTAGGTCTCTCTACAAGCAAATAATTTATGAAACGACTTAAATTTAGTACCAAATGATTTCCGCAGATTTTTCCCGTGTCTGCTGTAAAAAGATACTTTTAATCATACATATTTAAGAAGGCTGATAGCGCATTTAGGAGTGTAAAATTATTCGGTAACAATAACTACTGTTGTATCTTCAACTTGAATCACCAAGAGTGTGAGTAAAACATGTGTATATAACATCATGTTTTTAGCTATCCCGTTCGAGTGTTCGATTCATGTTCCTTCGCGCATGGCTGCTCTAAGTTTCGTGTTTCTGCGGTTCGTGAACTGACAAAGATCGCACATTCGAAATAACGCTTAGTGTAGAGCTAAGAACAGGAAAAATTGTAGCCGCTCAATTTAAATGAACAAACCTTCCATTTCGATCGCGAGTCAATTATCTTTCCAGAAACTTCAGGGGTATACATCGAATGTCGATAGCGTTTCGTTCGCACAAAGAAAGGAATTATTTAGTCAAAACTTTGTAAATAATAATAAACGAACCGTTCACTGCCGAGAAAAGTTAACGAAATTATGAACTGTAGTTAGCTGCAAAAAAGATGTCTCGGTCATAACAGTCAAATTGACTCAGTACATTTACATTTATTTAACATCACGCCTGGTTCTGAAGTTCCTAGTGCTACAACCAATTTCTTTTTACGCTTTCTTCTCGGTCTAAATGTCCTTCGAATCAATATTACGAAAAGAACCTGCTTAAACAAATTCTTTTATGGACTGTGGAAAATATTGGCACGGTCAGACTATCATTTTTTTTTAATTTA